GTGGACTGTTAGGAACACGGCCTCACAGCAGCAGGTGAGCGGAGAGTGAGCGAGTGAGGCTCCATCTGTATATGCAGCCGCTTCCCAGCACTGGCATCACCGCCTCAGCTCCACCTCAGATCATCAGGCATTAGACTCTCACAGAAGCACCCATCCCTGGTACCAAAAAAGTTGGGGACCATTATCTTAAAGGATTCTCAGCAAAGTAGCCCTTCCCTCCCCCTCCCCCCCGAAAGCCTCCCTTTTCTTCATTGGACTCAAATATGAGTTCACTGGGACCCGGGCTAGGAGGCAAATTTGTGAGCCAGACACAATGCTGTGCACTTGACATTGGAACCTCTATCCCAAATAACTTTCAAAGATAACTATGGTTTTAATAGCCTAACATTTGCCTTAGGGTGAATTCTTTCAGAGTGACTTCTGGCAGGCTTGCCTTATCAATTCCGCTGACTTGCTCAATTTGTCTACACTAAAGAGGAAAAGAAAGTAAGACTTACTGATGTAGGTGGGGTAGAAGGACAATTCCCTTCTACCCCACCCACATCAATAAGAAATATGCAAAAGTACTTTGTAAGTCATTAAAGTACTATACATGTACATGCATATACATATATATGGGTGTATGTATCAGATACTATTTCTTTGTTAAGCTACCCTTATAAAACCTAATTTCATTCTACTGATCCTGTTGATTCTAGAAACAGATAGTGGTTAATAAATTTTTTAAAGTATGCCCCAGTCATAAACCCTGGATTTCTGTTTGATTAAGCTTCGGTGTGTTCACTTCTCTAAAAAGTATGATTTGCAGTTCCAAAAGGATCACAGTTGTGGGGGATTGTTTCCCAAATTTAACATTAAAATTACATATTTTATATATGAGTATTTCTCATAAAAAAAATGTAGAGACCTGAGCCCTACTCCAGACTCACTAAATCTGCTTTTCTGTAAATTAGCACATAAGTCGGAGAGCTACTGCTATATACAATATACTCCTGGTTTTAGTAAGAGTAAACTATGAAATAGAAGAAAATATAAGATTGTATCAGAATTAAGAAGAAGAAAGTCTTGTCCAAGCATATTTTTAAAGTAAGAAACTAAAAACAAACTCATCAATTTTATTAGATAAAATTTAGATTTCTTGTAGCAAACAAGACCACAAACAAAAAGCTAAAAGATAACAAAATAGCAAGATGTATTTTCCACGGCATTATATAATGCCTTGCATTGCTTACAATATGAATAAAATGCATCAGAAATAAATTCAGAGTTCTTTGGTAATTAACCCACTAAATGGTAAGCCAGCCCAATGCCCTTGACTTTGTTTTTTATTTTTTCACTCTGTGATGTCACTTGGGAATCTTCATGTCTCCAGACCAGTCTTCAAGATTATGGCAGCCTGATGGTTGCTGGTGGGGCTGGATTCCAGCTGGAGCGAGATCAGGGTCACTGATCTCACTGTGGCAGTTTTACAAGACAAAATGACTCCAGGCCCCTGGCGCTCAGAGGGCTGATGTTCAGGCAGGATGTGGAAGGGCTCGCCCCAATCATTTCCCTCTCCAGGGTGGTCTGACTTCGGTTTCTCTGCTCCAGCCTGCAGCAGGCTGATGGCCAGGCTGTCCTGGAAATACTTATCTGAAGGATGATGACTGTCCCCGTCGCAGGTCAGAGCACTTTGCCTTTCCTTCCTCCCTTTCTCTTTTGAGGAACTTTTTGTACTGGAGGAGATAAAGCCCCAAGGATTCCTAACTGGAAACATTGGTTAGGATCGTCTTTGAGCAAGCAGATGGGCCTGGGTCTGACTTAGTAACTTGAGGCTGAAGCCCTTCTCCCACAGTCCAGTGAAGTAGCCCTGCCCCCCTCAATGAGGTTAGACCTCACCCATCCCTCTCCTACCCAGCTTGCTCAGACTTCCAGAAGGGCCTTGGATGTGCCCCCGCCTGTTCTGGTGGTTCTGTGGTGACTTTAGCTCTGTGTGTGCCAGGTGCAGTGCTTGTGATGTCTGTGTCAGCCCAGGCCCAGAGGCACAGGAGACCCCGGGTACAGGGAGCTTGCAAAGGCATTTGGTCCTATAATTCAGGAGAAAAGGGAAGGTGTCGCCACTTATGTGAACACCCCTCTGCACTGCAAGTCCAGCCCATGACCTGGGGTCCAGGGCCATCAGGCTGTGAATTGGTGTGAAAGTGCTTTTGAAGGCATTGATGGTGGAGGGTCAGCAGCATCCAGAGCCTGGTTCTCTGGGCCCCTCCCCAACTCTGTGCCCGGGTAGAAGGCTGGTATCTCCGTCACATGTCCGAAAGGTGACTTGCCTGGCTAACTCCAGAGCAGAAAGCATTGAGGGTACAGGACCCTGGGGAGAGAGCCCCCTGCTAACCAGGATGCCCTTGCTCTGAGGAGACAGTGCATGAGAGTGGGTGTCCCTGTGGTGAGGAAGCAGAGAGGGATCAGGTTCAGGGTTCTTGCAAAATACCCAGAGACTCTTCCCTCTCTCATTTAGAAATATTAATCTAAACTCAATTATTTTCTTATAAATGAAGAATAAGATTATACAGATAAAGAAGAGACTGATCCTGTGTTCAAACTCAGATTTGTCTGAATCAAATTCTGCCTTCTCCAAACTCTACCACACTGCCCACAATTTAGACTGTAACTTTCCAAGGCTCGGGGAATAATTGATTTAGATTTGTTAAATATTGTATTCTTGCTGTGCATTTGGGTGAGTTTTCACTTTATTACCTTTCTCCAAGTGAAAATTTACAGCAGGCAGTTAGATATGAGTGTCCAGAGTTTGGAAAAGAAATTCACATGGAAATATGGATTATGGCTATTGATACCTGGCTTATACTAAGCACCCTATGAATATTTATTGAATTAAATGAATGAATGAAGAATCCAATTGTATATTCTTATATCCTTTTCTATTAATATGTATTTTTCAAACAGAAGTGGGATTCTGCTGAGTGCACTGATTTATAACTTGTGTGTAAAAGTGAACTTTTTCTTTAACGCTCTACCAAGAGAATACCTGTTTTGAAGAGTATTTAGAAAATAGAGGTAACCGCACCATCTAGTGACCAGAGTGAGAACTGCGAGTTGAACGCAGCTAACAAAGAAGAGAGGGAGGGAAACTATTGGTGAATACGGGGAGAAGACTTGATACTGGGGAGGAAATGCCTCAACCTTTATTCACCGTGGACTGACACAGTATCAGCCTCCTCTTGGGGGGTGAAGTGGCACAAGAAGCAATATATAGTTAGATGGTTTTTCCCTGTCTCAAGTCAAGAAAAGAGTGTATGTGCATGTGTATGTGTTTCAACTGAATGGTCTTAATACTATTTTCACTTTTTCTCTGATTGTGGAAATTATATGTTTACACTAAAAAGAATATTCAAATATAGAAAAGTATAAAAGAAGATATAATTTCCTTATAGTTCCTTTACCCAGAGAAAATAATTGTTAATATTAACATGCATTTACTTATACTGTGTGTATATATATATCTCCTTTTATATACTGTTTACTTTTTTATATAGCATACATGTGTATTACTTTATATATTATACATTAAAATACCTTTATGTATTCATATATATATATTCGTAGTAATATCTTATATAGCATATATTTTATTTATTTTTATATGCACAAGACATTCATCCATATGGGTATTCCATCAACCACACCCCTTAATGAGAAAGACAATCTAACCTTAGTCAAGCTGGCTTAAATTGAATAAATTTATCATAAGGAGTTTAAACATAGCTTTAATGTCAATAGTGTACTTACATTAAACTAAAACTTAATTTTCTTTTTCTCTGTCAAAAGGACAAAGTTTTCTTGGACTATTGGTCTGCTCTTGATCAGAGATTGTGAAAGGTTTTTGTTTACTTTTTAAATAATATGTAAGGATTACTTATAGATACAGAAAGGAAGGATTTTGTGTTTTACCAAAACACTTTAACCTACAAGGCAATAAATCTGCTACTCAGTGAACCACTTTGCCAAGGCTTAATGTCTAGGCTCTAGGCCTTGACATTCTTTCTGTGATAGCACTGGGAATGCCTCTCTTCTGTGTTTGCTCTTCAGGGAAGATACTTTCAATGCACGTCAACTTTAGGGGCCTTTTTTGTGGACAAGGCTGGCCATGATGTACTTCACTGGGAGAATATTTCCGACTATGCTCAGTTTAGCAGAAGAAAAGTCCTAGGATATTTAAAGAGTACATGGAAAGTAATTGAGGAACATATAACATAAGGGGAGGCATGAGGAAGGATAGGAGAAGAAACCAAAGGTATTCAAAGTGAAGGAGATCTTTTATGTACCATGGCAAGTGATGAAATCAGATGTAGACTACAAACCAAGCAATAGGTCCACAGTG